AGATAAATTGAACATATTTTTTAATAATTGAAAAGTTATCTATATGTTTAATATTGTGATTGTGCATTGTGACATGAAGATAATTAAAGACTATTATATTAACAACTGAAAGGTGAAAAGTAAGGTTGCAAGAAACTAACGGTTTAGTAAATGTCTAACTATTGATATTAACAGTGTATAGTATGGGAAAAGATTTAATAAATGTTGTTATATTTTGTTCAATGTTAGTCTTGGAATCTGTTTCTTTATTCTAACTGTAAATTACCTTGCAATCCTCAATTAAATAAATTTGTTATAATCGGCAGTATAATTGAAACTCCAACAATTAGCCCTAAGGGTGCTGCCCATTACAGGACTCCCATACTCTACTAGGAGAGGGAGGAATACAGTGGGGAGTCCAGAGGATTGCTACACCGTAAGACAGTGCAATGGGTGATCACAAAAACCCTATGTTGAAAAGCAGACCAGACCTGATTTATTCAACCAGTGACACTACTTTACTCATGATAGTCTATCTGTTGGTATGGTCTGGTTCAGGCATTATTTATGAAGCAAAATATAGCGAGGCAACCACAACCAGTCTTGTGAAACACCCTATCTCTTCAGTAAGCATTGTAGATCTACATGGCCATATAATGTGAATTTATGTTGAATTATACCTGGACATGCACTACTAGCCACAGAGCAGGATCCAAGCAATGAGAAATGGGCCACTGTAATGGTACAAAATAAAATGATAGAAATTATCCTCTCACAGATGAAATGAGGTGTGGAGGATAGCAATGAGGGGCAAGCAAAAGTTAGATGAGAAGGAGATGGCCAAATGATGCAAGTAGCAAACCTTGATCATGACCACACAACAGAAGATATAAGGCACAGATGCCATACCAAAAGATAAAGCATGGAATTTGAAAACTCGACCTCCGTGAGCAAAAAGAAGGTAATTTCTGTAGGTTGGAGAGATAGGGATATGAAGGTATGCATTAAAGATGTTGAACTTTATGATCTATAGACCTAGAGTGAAAGCCTACAGAAGTGTGAGGTAGGGATTCCATAGTAAACCAAGGGAGGTTGTTCGTATTTGTTTTTTTCTCATCTCATTGACCACAATGGCACATATACACTATGTAACATTTCCTCGAAGAGAGCCTGTGGACTACTGGTGGTTTGCAGACTACAGATAGAGAAATGTTGCATTATAATATATATTTTTTTAAATTTAAGTAAATAACTGTTTGCCCTTACTGTAGTTTGAACCCAGGACTTAAGCTTATGTAAGAGCTCCAAGAGTGGTGCTCTTTCAACTGAGCTATCTGAGATACAAGCTCCAGTAAAAAACTTCTTACTCAATCATTACATATTCCTACCCATCTCAAAGAAAGCTTGTCCTTGAGCTTTCAATGAGCAAGCATACAAACAGCAGAAAACAACAACATGTTTACATAACTTTCAAGTTCCTGTGAGGACCCCAATTGTAAAATTTTTTAAATAAATAAGTGTATGCTCTGACAGGGTCTTTAACCCAGGATCTTCATATTTCTCTAGTTCTCAGAAACAGGTGCTCTTCCAACTGAGTTATCACCTCTATACAATCTCCAAAAATTGAACTCGGCCCAGGAAAAAGCAAGGTGTTACATTTGCCTGGACGCATTTTTAGTTCCACAAGTTCTGATAAATTGACTGACATTCTTTCCCAAGTTGATAGAGACTTTGAATAAACTTTGCTTAATATATTTAAAAATCTTCCCAATAACTCCTGTTCGACATCTTCTAAGACTATTGCATTATATGTATTAATAAAATTACAGTAAAAATGAGAGAGAACCTGGGATAAATATGGTAAATTTCAAAGTATTTTATATGAGCGTTACTTGTTCAAACATGTTATTAGCTCAAAAAATTATATATATAAAGCGTGTTCATAAACTAAAGTGCACTCAGTCGAATCCTACAAAAACATTCTAAAGTAAAACTGCTTACAAACAAAATCAGCAAGCTCAAACCTCACTTTTCATTGTAGTTTTCAAGATGGGGACTAACATGAAAGAAGTGAATTTCAATAGTGTTGTTGTTTACCTTGCAATTCTTGATACTCAAGCTGCAGATCATGTTAAAATAGTTTATGCCTTTTTTAAATAATATTTTGTGGTAGTATAATATAATTCACAATTTGAATCTCACGTGTTATTATTTCACTACGTTAAGTGTAAACTGTAATTGAAAGTTCTGAAAATGTAGATTTCTTACTTCTTTATGCCTATGCACTCATCAGGTGAAAAAAAAAAGTCTTAAAAATTAAATCTTTAATTTAATACATTTTTGTAACAATAAATTTGTAATTAATAAGACTCTTGTCTTTACAGTTTTTCATAAACATAAAGACATTCTTCAGGTATGCACTAACAACAGTATTTGTGTTTTAAGTGTAAGTGTAACAAGTAGATAATTTATTAAGTAAGGCCATTATTATTATGGCAATAAGCTATTTAAGGGTATTTTTAAGTGTATGTGTAACATGTAGATAACTTATTAAATAAGACCATTATTATTATTATTATTATTATGGGAATAAGCCGTTTAAGGCTTTCTTGTGGCTTAATAATCTTCCTACAGTAAAAAAATAAAATATTGTTACGTCTCCGTTTGTTAATTGATTTTTCCGTAACTTCGTTCCGACGAAACTTTATCGACACAAGTCTTTACTTAATAAAACTGGTTTATTCTTTCCGAATATAACTTTACCATACACTTAATTTCAATATTCGCGCTAAAACAAACACTATAACGAATGAATGTTAACTTCAACAATACGTCTCTCTCTGACCGCAGTTCAATTACTCATTACCTACACACATATTACCGCGTCACGTTGTCA